CAAATTATATATATATATATATTATATATCCCTCGAATAATGGGATAAACACAATGCGAGATAAAACACGTACTTCGTACACTTAGCACCACGATATAGAACCACATATCAAAGTAACAATAAATTACATTATTTCTAATAGAAATGTAGGAGAAATAGGAATTATAGGACGCGTCGAGAGTGTTAAATATGCGCTTAGACGTCAGTAATATATGTGATTCGATTTGAAGTCTGAAGAGGGCAAAATTTGTTTAAGAGGGATATACACAGCAATTATATTTTCCGTGATTATTAAAACGATGAAGGTATTGTAAGACACCGAGAAGATCGTGAAAAAACATACGCATCGAATAGGTGGATTTACGCACAAGGAAGAGATTAGTTTTTCTATTGTATAGAACGTCTAACGTGTGTTTCTGCGTTACATCTACGAGAAAAAATACATTGGGCACTGACTTGAAATTTGTGTAATCTTCTAATTACGCGCATTTTCCTCCACAATTAACTTTCATGATTCACGTTGGATTTTTCGAGTCACCTGCTAACACGCGAAACAATTTGCAAGACGCTTCAATCGAACGCTTCGAAGGAACGCAAAATAATGAATTAATGAAGGCGAGATCTAATCATTTTAGCTCAAGATGAGCTGTAAATTGAAACGATAAGAAATAATTATGCAAAATAATACATATATAATAAAATGTAATCTTCAGGGAGAATTCAGATAGCTCCATGTACAAAGAAAAAAAATGTTAACAGCGTGTTGTAATTTGTTTTATATAGTTCAGCAATCAATCAATATAGAATCAATATTATATCGTACATGAGATCATCTCCTCGTTATAATTATTCCTAACAGTTTGTCGCAAATGCGAAATACATTTTTGCACATACATTCAAATTTTTTAGACTCTTTTGAGAAAGAGAATAGCTGCAATTGATTCGCGAGCTATACGTCTCCAGCAAACATTATCGAAGTAGATACTAGAACATGTGTTGGCAAGAAGGTGCAGAGAAAGTGTTAAGGCATACGTTTTTTTTTGAAGATCGGCGACATTTGATAGAAATAGGATTATATAGAATCTGGTTGATAAAACTTTGAAGCGATTAACTCGCAATATCATTGATCAATATCCTAGGGAAGAAACTCTCTATAAGTGTAGTCACAAGAACGCGCTACGATCCTTAGGCAAGAGAGAAATCATAAAGCAGATAGATTAGAAATATGGGATTATAATAAGATAACGCGGTAGAGTTAAATTTCGAGAAAACTTACGTCTCTTTCATATTCGGTAAACGTTACTGCATATCACCCTCAAATATATCTCTGTCATATAGATTGATAATAACATGTTTGAGAAACTATTTTAACGATTTCGTATTCTATATAGGTCTATATATGTGTATGTATATATGTATAACTCTTAATTTTTTTTCGTATGGCTTAGTTTAGGAAGAAATATCACGACAGCAAAATGTCATCGATATCTGTCTCGCTTTAACGAACGTAATCGAACCTTCTCTCTTTTTCCTCTCTCGCGCGATTTATGTATATATATAAATATTTGTTCTTAAAATCTCTTTATTCTTTGTGCGTCTCATTGCGCGTGCAACTTTCCATGAAACGACGAACTATCGCATTAATTTCTTTAAAAACGACGACCAAGAAGGGATCGTTTCGTGAGAAGAGATTAAGAGATTGAGAAAGAAAAAGGAGATTCTCGTAATTGATTTTTTCGCTTCGGTGCGTGTATTTTTTTCCTTTTATAGATGGAAGTTTTCTTGCGAATGTCACAGAATTAAAAAAAAAAATGCGATTAGGCAGAAAAGTTCTCCGCGAGAACATGCACAGATGCTCTTGAAAAAAAATTAATTTTAAACATAATCGAGACAGGGGTTCAATCAAAGACAGAATTATATCGCGAACGCACACTATCACAACCTTTTTCCTTTTAAAAAGTTCCTTATAAAAAATTTTATGCTAATACAAAGAAAAAAAGTATCGTTATATAAGAATAAAAATTTTAAACAAAGATATGTATTTTTCGCGGCAATATTTTTGCATGATACGCGTAATTGAACCCCAATTAAAAACCGTTAAAACATTTTTTCGATTATTTTATCTATAGAACGAGTTACCTAGACGTATCGTTAAGATGTCTGTTAAGATTCCTGTTTTACATTACTTATATACCGCATTATTACTTTTTAATGGTGCGGTGCTCCTTTTTCCTTGAAAAAGCGCTGAATAATTAATAATAATTATGCGAGAAGGAACTGAAAAAGGGTGCTAATAATAAGCTTATAAGCTTTGAAACGCTAATGATAAAATTTTGCATTTGCGATAAATCGCGAAATGAGATTTTATTCGTGTAACGTTTTTCTCAGATTTTTAAATAATATTATATGCACAGCTAATCGCGTAAAAACGAAATTTGAATTCTGCATCACTTTTATATTAATCTAGTCCCTTCTTGTATAATTAATCCAAAAGAGCAATTTATCGATCATGCGAAAATGCTGAAAGAATACATTGGAGCATTCGATTGTACGCGTACACTAATTCAACGCAAATTAAAATTAAGGAGACATTCTAATCTACGTCTCGATTAGACGTCTTGTAAGTTTCATCGAAATGTCTAAAGACATTTCTCTTCGATATCGTTTATAGTTAATTATAATTATACTGTTCGAGATAAAAAGACAGTTTTAGATAATTAATTGACGAATTGATCCATTAACTTTAGTAATTAAATAACTATTCTCTAGATTCTATTCTTCACGAATCTTTTAAGCGTCTTTTTACGTATCTCTAAATGTCTTTTCGGCTTTAATGTTACCTGAAGCTATTAGACGAAAGTATACACGACTCGCGTGAAAATAAATTATTCAGCATAGTGAGCAAATGTTGTCTTTTCACAGATATTTTGACACTTGCAAGTCAAGTGCACGCGATCACGCAGCAGAGAAAACGTAGACTTAATATTTCGTTTTGGTTTTATCTCGTGAGCGCTCGCGCATAAAATGTAATCTTATTGCACTTTAAAATAAAGTAAAAAATATAAGCATTTGCGCTTTAAAATGTGTATTTATTAGAACTGCAGTTGAGAAAAATAAAAATATTTCGCGAATAAATCTTTTTCGCGTAAGACAACAGATTATCTCATTATGTGAACATTCATAAATGGATACAATATTAATTATGTGATGAATGCAAGCATATTTTCGTCTTTTTCATGCATTTCGCGATATCTCTTCTCGATTGCTTGTCGCAATTTATTTGCGTCTCCTACGTCTTGTGCTTTTTATAAAAATATTCCTGATTCGCGTTCAGTAAATATTATTTCGTTTTCTTAAACAATGCAGCGTCGATTGTGAAATAATCATTTACATTGTATTATTACGTAATATGTATATATTAATTATGATCATAATTATAATCGTCATAATAAACATTGACGTATCTTCTATCTTTGCAACTATATATAATTCATATAATTTATTATTATATAACAGGTTAGTAAAATTATCCGTGAAAATCTAATCAATGAAAAGATATTTAAATTCTAAAACGCGACAAAATATATGTATTTTAATTGTTTATTCTTTTTTTAATAATGATGCGCTGCAATGTTCTCATATGAATGTATGTCAATATTTTTATCGACGCTACATTGTGCAAGAATAAATTATAACGATGTAAAAAAATAGATAATGTTGATTGTGCTTCTACAGATAAAGCGTGATTGTTTGACTTTTATTTTAAATTTACAAATAAATCGGTATAATCAAATGCAATTTCTTTCAATAATAGCAATTTTATTCGAAAAAAATTGAAACGAGGGTAAAATTCAAAGAGACGCGTACATACCGATTGCGATTCTAAGTTAAAAATGAAAAATAATGAAATATATTATTCGAACGAATAATTTTTTCGTGGCAGAAATTTTTGATAGTTCTCTTAAAATTTTTGATAGTTTCAAACGATTATATATTATCGATCGCCTTATTACCGTTCGTCTTCTGTCAAATCGACACTTTGGTATTATTCACTTCGTGTTTGTTATTATAAAATATCGAATGCAACTGTGAAATATCGAGCTGTATGATATCGAATGCATTTCATGCCGTTTTAAAATCATGCCGCCACTTCTGAGATCTTCTCTTTCGAGTTGTGCAAATTTAGTCGGGATATTTTCTCATGTTTATTGCTTTCTTAATTTGTTCCAAGGTACAATTAACTGCGTTTCGCGCTTGTATGTATAACTGCCGTCGAATTTTAACGGAACGAATTGGCAGTCCTATGCTATACGTTATAATATAAATTTCGTTTTCAACGAACGCAACTATTTTTTTCTTTTTACTGTAAATTCAAAGCTTCCGTCATTGTTACTTTTTCTCTCTGTATATCTTGTTATAGAATAAAATCTTTCCACTTAATATAATCGGAAAAGTTCACAAGAGTACTTTAGAATCTTAACGTGTATTATATATTTATATGTATATATTAACACTAATGAGGTTATTTATTTGTTTATACAATGACTAATATACTGAAAGATTAGAGATATCATTAAATAGTCTTTATCCTTAAATATTAATGAGCATGAGATGAATAGATGTACATCTTAGAAAGTACAATAGCGATATATTATAATAGAGATTTGTGTTTTGTGTGTGTATGTATCTATATATATATATATTTATATAATATATTTGCATTTCTCTCTTTCTGTGTATGTAACGCAAAAATTTTACAAAATACAATACTGCCTTGCGTAACGTTTCCCAACATAAAATCAAAACTCTTATAACATTCATTATACGCCGCCGCAACATTGCATTGTCGGATCGGTTGTCTCATTGGCAGACAACGTAACGAAAGTGTTTTCCCGAAAAAGATATCAACCACGAATGGAAAAGCGATCACGCGTCGAAATTGTAAGTTAAGTGAGAAGGAGAAGAAGGAAATGCGATGAAAGAAAGAGCTCTCGCAAAAGAAGGGCGAACTGAAAATAATATTATATAGGAGAATCCATTCTCTCTCGACAGACAACTAGTAAGCCATCTCTCGGTCGGAGATCATCTCTCCATCGTACACCGAAAAATATCGTTTATGTTGCACGCTCGTGTTTACTTCGTAATCCATTATATACTCGACTGCCGCCCGATCGTGCAAGTAAAATCGTTACAAGCCAAAACGTCAAAATCAACTGTTGCGTGTGTATTCGCGAACTCTCTTGTCATTCTCTATTTTCATCAATAATGAATAATGTTAAGTATATATGTGTGTGTATGTGTATGTGTGTGTATATTATGTATATATAATTATCGCGATCTTAATTGATCGATACTTATCGGACGATGGGGCGATAAGGCTCGCACCTCGAGCCGTCTCTTTATCGCGTTCGCTTCTTTATATACGGGGCACGCGCATACGCAGAATAGAGGTACATATACGCATACTCCTTACGCTCACACAGGACGCACGCATTCACAAAAATAAATCTCTAAATACGGCACGCGTGCGCGCGTGAAGATTCTTCTTCTTTTATCCGGTCGCTCGGCGAAGCGCGATTTCTTCGCTAAAGCTTTGGGGAGGGAGATGGGACCAGTCGCTCTGATCGGCAAGAATGCGTTTTCATTTCCCTTAGCGAGATTGAGGAAAGAGGCGAAAACCTGTATGCTCTATCCGACTACAATTATGTTCATCCTCTACTGTACCGCCGTAGACGACAAAGGTCACTAGAAATGGCAAAATGACGTCGAGAGATGAATATAATAGCAATATTAAAGGACAAATTTTCCCAGAATTCGATCGGATAGCTCTGCGAGATCTCAAGGATCGCCAAAACGTATTGTATAGCGAGTCTTGAAATATCGCAACGAGACGATAAACTAGTTGCTCCTGTCTACATTCAAGCAATACGGATACGTCGAATCGAGAGTATTTTCTTCGCAGCATTTTCGACGTGTTCGCATATCGGTGTGACAATCGTGTCGCGTTACGCAGTCGTTTCTTCCTTCCGCTAGATCAAGCACTAAGTCGGTCTCTAAGCGTGTAATATATCTGTGTACATGTGCGTGTGTTTAACCAACAGGCGCGTCTTACTAGCGCGCGATTTCGATTTCGCAGTGACCTTTGCCTGGGATCACGGGTCTCTAATCGCTAAGTTTCGTTGCTAGCGCGCAATAAGACGCAACGCGAGTGTGAGTCTCTTGTGAGTCTTTTCCGTTATTGGGTCAGTCCGTAATAATGAGCCGAGACACTCGGGGGAAGGATCCGTCGAGGGCGGGAGATACGGTACCGGGGTGTTATCGAGAAGAGATGGATGTCCGTCCGCGTCTTCGGTATTAAATATCAATATGATGTCAATACAGTCCACATAACAATAAGAGCTGCGAGCTTTCGAGAACTCGTAACGCTGAAACGTCAGTCCGACGTTGCGTAGATGCGATTATACTTGTATGTACAAGGATCCACTATTGATGAGACGCGCAAGACGTTCGTTTCTCCAGAGAAACTCGAACGTCATCGCCCGTCGTAGAGTTTTCGTTTGCATCCGCGCTACCGATAATCTGAGATATTTTACGAACACAGAGTATTTTAGAATTTCGCTAATCGCGTCTCGCGTTGCACTTTGAACCTTCGGCGAAATTCGCCATTGACGACGACATCGACGCAACGTCGGACTCAAAGTTAAATCTTTCATCGACGCGAACCGGCTTCCCTCTTCTCGCGCCGGGGGCATTTCTCGGGATGGCTTCTCCGCGGATCGTTTTGGTCGTGCGCAGCGCAGCACAGACGACCCGAAAAGGCGTAACAAGCTTCTCGCTAAACCGATCCGTTTTAACGAAACGGAGCGACTGGACTAGTCTTGTCGACTAGCTTGCGGTATGCGCAAGCGCCATGGGCCCAGTGACCCTGGGACCTCTCGGATACCGGCCCAATTTATAGAAGCCCTAACAAACACGTGTAACGCGCGTGATCGTAGAATGTCTGCGAGAAATCGCCAAGACCATATCTTCGAGTAATGGAGGCAATGCATTTTTTTTATAACTTATCACCATTATCATCGGTATCAGAAGATATCAATTTGAACGATCGTGTTGATCCTAAAGATTGCGATTCGTTCTTTTTACACAACTTTTTCAATTTTCAAATAAATAAAATATTCACGGAGAAATTTCACAAGACAGATAGCTTTTAAGAATCAAATAATATTAACTTATTACGATTCAAACTAAAAGATTTTATCATTAATCGTATTTTAATTATAAAGGAAAAAATCTTGATTTTTTTCTCTATTATTCCATGTGCCCTATATAATCTATAATTAAAACGCAGAATGATTTGCTTATCCAACAATCATATTTCATGCATTAATCGTCCTCGAGTAAAGAACGTTTGTGAAGCGAAACAATTTTCCTAATAGTAAGTAAGTCTATTTTGCATAATTAAAATAACTCATGGCGAATAAATTATATACATCCTACAGTAAAAAGTACATAGTACAACAACTATTAAATTAAGATTTAAAAAATTCAAATACGAAGATAACGTTTTAGCAAGTTTCTCGATGAACCAATAAATTCGGAGGACAAGTTTCTACGATCGTGCCGTTTCTGTTTGGGATATCAATTGGGCCGGGCTCCGATTCGGGTATGCTGATGGCATATCGGTATTTGTCTGTATTGGCCCAGGGCCTCACTGAGCTTGTGCACTAGGATCGCACTGCAACAGTCGCACAATAGATGGGTCGCTCTTCGCACCCTCTATAAATTCGTCCAGCGATAGCTTGCCGTCCTTGTTCTTATCCATTTGTCGGAATATCTTATCAGTTCGTTTTTCCGGCGTCGACTCATCTTCCGGCATCTTCATTACGGAGCCCACCATCTTGTAGATAGCCTGAAATTAATGTTAGATTAAAGTGGAATAGAATTAAATAATAAATAAAATAATCAAAGAAAAATAAAGTATAAGAATAGAAATTATATTTAGATATAAATATAAAAAATAGAAATAGAAATTATATTTATATAGTATTACATGTCGAAGAAAATTAATCATCTCGAAATTGCATATAAAAGAAGTGTACAACATTAATAAAAAATTCATAAGACCGTATGTTGACCGAATGACAATCGATAATGTAATAATAGATTTAAAAAATGCAATAATACAATTACATATATTAACTGCAATATACAATTATTATAAAATAAAAATTGTATTATGCATAAAACCGCGTCACATCGTTTTGCATATTATATAATAAATGTACAGTCAATTATTTCTTAATAAAATTCAAATAGAGAAGTCTAATGTTTACTTCAACATCAAATTTTTCTCACATACACAATTCGAACTAAAATTCTTTTATATCAAAATTATTAAATTTCGAAAAAATTAATATTTTACTAATATATCATCTTTTTTTTTAATTCTTAAAGTTGAAGATCGTATCAGCCACTAGAGATTTGAAGAGGGTCGTAAATTGGAACAGTTTTAATAAAGCAGAAGCAACGATATAATTAACCGTACGTATATCGAGCTCGCGAGAAGTAAGTTTATGTCGTAGATTATTAAATTACTCTTCGCAGCCCCTTATTTTGCACATACCGTTACGATTTCAAGCATCTCTTGTCGTGAAATGTAGCCGTTGCCATCCAGGTCATACATGCTGAAGGCCCACTTTAACTTCTGCTCCAACTTGCCGCGGGACGTTACGCTGAGAGCGCAGAGAAATTCCCGAAAATCGATCGTGCCGTCGCCGTTTGCGTCGAATGTCCTGAATACATGCTCCGCGAACTAGGGAGAGAGAGGAAATTATAATTGAAAAAAAAAAAAGGAAAATTTGAATAATTTCGTGAGACCGCCATAGCACGCAATATGTAAATAAATTTATCGATCACATATATACAGCGTTCATATACAGGGTATATTTTTATCGTAAGATTTTTGCATTTACCTTTGACGCGTCGCCATAAGGAAAGAAGTTTCCGTATATTTTCTTGAATTCTTCTACGCTGAGGTGGCCGCTAGGACAGTCTTTTAAGAACCCTTTGTACCACTCCTGAATCTCCGCATCTTGAGAAGGAAAAATATCATAAAATATTACTTATACACAGCTTAAACATTAGTCACAGCTTCTGGATAAATCAGAGAGTTAAATATTTAATGATAACACAAACTTTACATTTGTACATATTAAAGCTTCCGATGTGCTTTAAGCAAAAATGCTCTCTTTTCGTCAGAAATATATATAATATTCTTATTGTATTTTTAAAAAATATATCTGCAAAATGCAAGATTTTATCTCGAAACAAAAATTTAATTATTATTTTAGATTATTTAGATGTGCATACTATAAGATAAAAAATATTATGGAAAATAATAAATCCATTAATTATTTGTACAAAACGGCGCACACAAACCTGAGAACTCAGTATTCTGTTTGAGATCCTCCAGCACTTCCGGCTTTAACTTGCTGTTTTGCTTCCCCATAGCTGTTTAAAGTCCTTCCCGTCCAGAATCCCTGATTTTTCGACGAATTCCAGGAGCCAATTAGAAGATAATTAAGCTCTAACTAGACTACTATTCTAATAGTGCCGTTAAGCACAATACGCTTCGCGGCTGGTATTCTCCACCAGACACGCCTGAAAAAAGAAGAGACGTATGATAATTTTTTAATCATTTTTTTACGACCAAACTAACTGATCGGAAGTAGCAGAAGACGATGTTCGATAGGTCACTTTTTTTCGTTCGCGACCGAATAGAATCTATTACTTATCGGGACCGCACTCGAAATCAATCGTCAATTAACGAGCTAAACAAATTAATGAGAACGTGACGTAAAAATATATGATCTAAAGAGTCGCGGCAAATTCTATAAGCGACTTAAATGTCAAAAGCCACGTGGATACTAAAACCGACTAAAGACGAAGTCAAAAAAATTTCGCATAAATCGTATATGCTATTGTAGGTCTTTTAAATTTTATTAATAATCGATAAATATCACGTCGTGATGAAAATAATTAACGCTACGTCTCAAAACTGTTTAACGTATAGTTGAAAGACATGTAGTATTTCCCGAACGCTTAATTTTCGTCGATCTATCTCGGTAGCGGATCCTCGATGAAATTACGAGTTGATTTCACGTACCTTCTTCGGCAAAGTGCATTTATAATACGCAAAAATGAAGGGAATTTTTGAAGGCGAGAGTCAAGGAATTTGAATGACGGGGATAGAGCGCATTCGCACACATTCATACGCATTCACGCAACTGCAACAGAAGAAAACATTTTACAGAGATTAATAACAAGAAAGAAGGACTACGTTATTTTTTGTCAAAATAACAATAGTAAAAAAATGCAACGGTAGTAATAATAATACGTTTGGAGCGTAGTGTGCTTTATTATAATAATAATATTAGTAATGACGATAATGCGGGTTTCTTTCCACAATTCCTCGCCGTGCGGAGAACCCACATACAAAATATGAGTTAGTTTATTTTTGATTGCTTAAACGGAATATTAATTAATTAATTATACTACATAATAATAATAATAATAATACGTACGTAATACGTAAGTACTAGATCTCTTATTTAAGGTATGTATGTCCGCGTAACACGTGTCCATGTGTATGTATGCATATGTATATGCGAGATATACATCGCGAGAGCAATATTTGCTCCAGGAGCGACGGTGCATCATCGTGATGCAATCTCGCGCGGGCCGCTTATGCCGCATGGTTTACGCGCGGATAAGCGAGCAGACAGCAAGCATCGTCGTCCTAAACGGGACGACGAGTCTCGAGAGGGATGCTCTTCGGTCTCATCCCACGAGGCATTTTCAGCGGCGGCGGCGAGTTGCATCTCGGCGGAAAAATAGCCCGCTACGCCGAAAGATAATGCAACACATCCGGCGACATACATATTCACGTATACGCAAATAATACATATATTTGCATGCGATATCGCACGTGTCATTTGCTGCGCGCGGTTTGACGTTTGTTCTGACGTCGCTCGACACGTGTACACGTATGCAACAATGCTGTCACTTTTGATCGCAACCGGGAATCGGGATCGTCGATTGATGAAGGCGCGAACGTGATCGTCACGCATAAATAAATCGTTCATAATGTTCACTTTGTTATCTCGGCTCGAGGAGCGTCACATATCCAGATTTCGTGAAAGCTCGACGACAAATCGAGCTGGTTACAGGTAATGTACGACTGAACGTCGAGGATTGTCATGGGAAATTATATCCGCGATCGGACCTGTGTTTCGTGTCGCGACACTCGAGATTCGTGTGTGTATTTGTCAAGTGAGAAATGCATACATTCTTATGAGGAAACAAATTTTTTTTATGAGACATTATTGTTTTTCTCGCGGCACTCTCTGCAACTTGACAGATATACAATCTTGTCGGTGTAAGTTTGACGGATGCAATTCTGTTTGTTACAATCATTCTTCTATTCACATTGCGAAAGCTGTTTTCTCGTTATTATTCACGTGATAAAAACGTATCTTACAGTTGACACATATCTGTCGCGTTCGTCTCTCCTCTCGTTCATCAAACTTATTAAAATAAAATCGCTGCAACACGCATTAACATATACTTGTCCGGTCATCAATCTGTTAATAAGATAGACGCTAAATAATCTGATCTCTCTCTTTTCTTTCGTGAACATATGTATATCGCAAAAGAGAATCGGTTCTCTCGGGATCGAGTCACAATAATTACGACAATTCGCTGATTTTTAACAGCGGAATATATCTACATTATTAACTCTTTCGGAATCAGTCTTCATCCGAGTAGGAAATGATAATGTATAATTAAATGATTAACAAGTAAAAAGAATTTAATTTTACACATAAATATATACATATATGTTCGAATACATGCTATTATAAATCTTGTAATGAAATAAGAACATTTTATGCAATATTACGAGCGAATGCGAAGCCGAAAGAGTCAACGTACAGAAAAGTTATGTCAAAGTTATTTAACGAGAGATTATAATTATATAAGTAATGTTATAATTTATCTAAACAAAAAAAAAGTACCTATCTGTCAAAATATCAACGGATCACATCTACCCCTCCTTCATTATGCAGCTGTTGATCAACAATACCATACACTCGATACATTGACGTATATGTAATACGTTATTAATTACAACTGCGAGACATTCGCGGCCGCAATCGGGGACATACGCTCCGGTAATCTCGCGCAATCAGCGGACGCGCTGATTACACGCGGCGCTGGTGTAATCAAAATAATGTAGTTAACTTGACCGTCCTCTCGATCTGCGATATGCGTGCAACGCACATTGCTGTTACGAAAAAACGAGAAAAAGAGAACCCGTAGAACTCGACTGGAATAAGCGAATATTCGGATCCGCGTAATGGCAGATCAGAGCCGAGTTTAAAGTTTTAACGACGTAGATAATGACAAAAAGAGAATATAGGTTTTTTAGTTTTTTTCACCTACCCTATCATATTTGGGTGAGATTTAATTTCTGATAGACTCGAAGCCGCGATATCGATTGTATTTTTTTTTTTTTTTTTTTTTTTTTTTTTTGAACGTCATTTGTGAAGGGAAAATACTCCTTTTTGTGTAACTTAAACTGTCATTATGATACTATCGAAAGGGGGTTTAAATTGAGAGAGCACTTCCACATAAATCTATTTTAATATTTAGATATATTAAATTTTAAACTTTGCTTTCTCTTCCTGATCAATTATAATCTTTTAAAAATATTCGAATAAAAATTGTGAAATATGAACACACAGTAAGAACTTGTATTATTAATATCGAGTATTCCAGTAGATGAAAAATTTTAATTAAAAAAAATTCTGTTCTATGCAAAATGCAATTTGCATAATTAAAAATTAAAGATATATATAAAATATATATTTCCCTAATACCTCTTGCAACTAAATTTTAATGAAGCCATATAAACTATTTCTTCATAATCATATAGCGTTTATACAATCAACACACATGTTTTCTATCATTTCTTCGTCTTTACACGTCACATTTATGCTCGATTTTTTGCAATCTACTATTGGCGAAAATCGCGCAGAATGCAACGTAGAATAACGTCATAGTCGACTCTGATGCCAACATTTTCATCATCATGCATATCGTTATTTTGCGCGGTAGATTAAAAGTTTGTATTAGCGCAACGCCCATCGTTTACACGTCATATAGTAAGAGACGCGTCGTATATTATGTGTGCATATGCCGTGCCACATTTCCTCCCTCCTATCATATTATCTAATAAGGTAAATGCGTATGCGTGTTCTTTTATCTCCGCAATAAATGCGGTCAGTCGTAAGAGGCGCGTCATTATGCCCTTGAAATAAAATTAATACCTTGTGCAAAGATTTATGCTCGTTGTCTTGTGTCCTGATCGCTAACGACCTTATTCGGAAAAGCAATTTTACTCGAAATGTGGAACGACCGTATGCAAAATACCGTGCTTGCAATTATCTTGCAAGGACGTCTGTACTACACCCGAGAGAGACAGAGAGAGAAAAAGAGAGAGTTTTTAGATAAGTGAAGTTTGCGTTAACTGGGAAATTAGTCCCCCGCGAAATTCCGAGCGTGTATTTGTCGTCTTGTTAATATGTACGCGCCATTCCTTAACATAATTATCCTTAAGTGGCAAAACAAATTTCGAAATAATAATAACGAAGCAAGTGTAATGAATATTTTTACCGTCAGTTTCGCAACTTAATTCAATCTCGACGTGACTTTTAAAAGATAATTTTACAAATCAATTAAATTTTTTTCATCTGTAAATCATAAAAATATGACGATTAAGAATTATTATAGATAAGTATATTAAAAATTAATTAGTTTGATAATTATTAATAAACATGAGAGGTTGTGCAATAAAAATTTTAAAAGGGAAAATTGATAGAAATTTCGCAATAATAAGAGTGCAAATTTGGAATAAAGATGACTAGTTATACGCGATGTATGTCCGGTTAATGGTTATATCCAGTTATCGAAATATCGATTTTTAAATTTATTCTTAACGTCGGATAATAGATATTATGTAGCAAAAGCATACACTGCCATTAATTCGCTCAAATACCCGCAATAATGCTATACGATCGATGTTGATTGCTTACGCATTATCTATGTAATTGGAAAAGCTGTTTGGTTAAGCTGTTTAAATATGTTATCGTGGTATACAATTGGGGAAATACAAACTTTGAAGCGTCTTGCAATAGAATTCTTGCGTGTTCGATACGATGTGAAAATAGTAGATCGAACGATCAATGACATTGTATGTACATACATCCAAGAAGATAGTTGTTTTCGTTAAAGCGCGAGTCGTAGATGAAAATATCGTGCATGTCAATAGTTCCGATCGATGTAATCGACGTCATCAAATAGAGTTTCCAGATTCTAGCTAAAATCAGAAATATACATGAGTCTCTCGATGTAGAGTCCCCAGGATACAGTTTTGAATATTTTGATCTATAAAAT